CGCCCTCGGGTACTGCAGTGTGTGTGTGTGTGTGTGTGTGTGTGTGTGTGCCCTCGCAGACCTCGCCCTCAGGTACTGCAGTGTGTGTGTGTGTGTGTGTGTGTGTGTGCCCTCGCAGACCTCGGCCTCGGGTACTGCAGTGTGTGTGTGTGTGTGTGTGTGTGCCATCGCAGACCTCGGCCTCAGGTACTGCAGTGTGTGTGTGTGTGTGTGTGTGTGTGTGTGTGCCCTCGCAGACCTCGCCCTCAGGTACTGCAGTGTGTGTGTGTGTGTGTGTGTGTGCCATCGCAGACCTCGGCCTCAGGTACTGCAGTGTGTGTGTGTGTGTGTGTGTGTGCCCTCGCAGACCTCGCCCTCAGGTACTGCAGTGTGTGTGTGTGTGTGTGTGTGTGTGTGCCCTCGCAGACCTCGGCCTCGGGTACTGCAGTGTGTGTGTGTGTGTGTGTGTGTGCCATCGCAGACCTCGGCCTCAGGTACTGCAGTGTGTGTGTGTGTGTGTGTGTGTGTGTGTGTGCCCTCGCAGACCTCGCCCTCAGGTACTGCAGTGTGTGTGTGTGTGTGTGTGTGTGCCATCGCAGACCTCGGCCTCAGGTACTGCAGTGTGTGTGTGTGTGTGTGTGTGCCCTCGCAGACCTCGCCCTCGGGTACTGCAGTGTGTGTGTGTGTGTGTGTGTGTGTGTGTGTGCCCTCGCAGACCTCGCCCTCAGGTACTGCAGTGTGTGTGTGTGTGTGTGTGTGTGCCATCGCAGACCTCGGCCTCAGGTACTGCAGTGTGTGTGTGTGTGTGTGTGTGCCATCGCAGACCTCGGCCTCAGGTACTGCAGTGTGTGTGTGTGTGTGTGTGTGCCCTCGCAGACCTCGCCCTCGGGTACTGCAGTGTGTGTGTGTGTGTGTGTGTGTGTGTGTGTGCCCTCGCAGACCTCGCCCTCAGGTACTGCAGTGTGTGTGTGTGTGTGTGTGTGTGTGTGCCCTCGCAGACCTCGGCCTCGGGTACTGCAGTGTGTGTGTGTGTGTGTGTGTGTGCCCTCGCAGACCTCGCCCTCGGGTACTGCAGTGTGTGTGTGTGTGTGTGTGTGTGTGTGTGTGCCCTCGCAGACCTCGCCCTCAGGTACTGCAGTGTGTGTGTGTGTGTGTGTGTGTGTGTGGCCTCGCAGACCTCGGCCTCGGGTACTGCAGTGTGTGTGTGTGTGTGTGTGTGTGCCATCGCAGACCTCGGCCTCAGGTACTGCAGTGTGTGTGTGTGTGTGTGTGTGTGTGTGTGTGCCCTCGCAGACCTCGCCCTCAGGTACTGCAGTGTGTGTGTGTGTGTGTGTGTGTGTGTGCCCTCGCAGACCTCGGCCTCAGGTACTGCAGTGTGTGTGTGTGTGTGTGCCCTCGCAGACCTCGGCCTCAGGTACTGCAGTGTGTGTGTGTGTGTGTGTGTGTGTGCCATCGCAGACCTCGGCCTCGGGTACTGCAGTGTGTGTGTGTGTGTGTGTGTGTGCCATCGCAGACCTCGGCCTCAGGTACTGCAGTGTGTGTGTGTGTGTGTGTGTGTGCCATCGCAGACCTCGGCCTCGGGTACTGCAGTGTGTGTGTGTGTGTGTGTGTGTGCCATCGCAGACCTCGGCCTCAGGTACTGCAGTGTGTGTGTGTGTGTGTGTGTGCCATCGCAGACCTCGGCCTCAGGTACTGCAGTGTGTGTGTGTGTGTGTGTGTGTGTGTGTGTGTGTGTGTGTGTGTGCCATCGCAGACCTCGGCCTCGGGTACTGCAGTGTGTGTGTGTGTGTGTGTGTGTGTGTGTGTGTGTGTGTGTGCCATCGCAGACCTCGGCCTCGGGTACTGCAGTGTGTGTGTGTGTGTGTGTGTGTGTGTGCCATCGCAGACCTCGGCCTCAGGTACTGCAGTGTGTGTGTGTGTGTGTGTGTGTGTGTGTGTGTGTGTGTGTGTGTGCCATCGCAGACCTCGGCCTCGGGTACTGCAGTGTGTGTGTGTGTGTGTGTGTGTGCCATCGCAGACCTCGGCCTCAGGTACTGCAGTGTGTGTGTGTGTGTGTGTGTGTGCCATCGCAGACCTCGGCCTCGGGTACTGCAGTGTGTGTGTGTGTGTGTGTGTGTGTGTGTGCCCTCGCAGACCTCGGCCTCGGGTACTGCAGTGTGTGTGTGTGTGTGTGTGTGTGTGTGTGTGTGTGTGCCCTCGCAGACCTCGGCCTCAGGTACTGCAGTGTGTGTGTGTGTGTGCCCTCGCAGACCTCGGCCTCGGGTACTGCAGTGTGTGTGTGTGTGTGTGTGTGTGTGTGTGTGTGTGCCATCGCAGACCTCGGCCTCAGGTACTGCAGTGTGTGTGTGTGTGTGTGTGTGTGCCATCGCAGACCTCGGCCTCAGGTACTGCAGTGTGTGTGTGTGTGTGTGTGTGTGCCATCGCAGACCTCGGCCTCGGGTACTGCAGTGTGTGTGTGTGTGTGTGTGTGTGTGCCATCGCAGACCTCGGCCTCAGGTACTGCAGTGTGTGTGTGTGTGTGTGTGTGTGTGCCATCGCAGACCTCGGCCTCAGGTACTGCAGTGTGTGTGTGTGTGTGTGTGTGTGTGTGTGTGTGTGCCATCGCAAACCTCGGCCTCAGGTACTGCAGTGTGTGTGTGTGTGTGTGTGTGTGTGTGCCCTCGCAGACCTCGGCCTCAGGTACTGCAGTGTGTGTGTGTGTGTGTGTGTGCCCTCGCAGACCTCGGCCTCAGGTACTGCAGTGTGTGTGTGTGTGTGTGCCCTCGCAGACCTCGGCCTCGGGTACTGCAGTGTGTGTGTGTGTGTGTGTGTCTGTGTGTGCCATCGCAGACCTCGGCCTCAGGTACTGCAGTGTGTGTGTGTGTGTGTGTATGTGTGTGTGTGTGCCATCGCAGACCTCGGCCTCAGGTACTGCAGTGTGTGTGTGTGTGTGTGT